TAACTTGATCAATTGTGGCAGTCCTTTCTACTGAATATAATTATTTACTTGATTGACACGTTAATTATTATTTTGGTTGGATAGCAAATCAGAAGAGAAAGGAAGGGAAGGGGGAAGGTGGATCTCCATTTTTTCTCCTAATCCTCCAATTGGAGGGATGGTTTTTATCAAAGGAGAGAGAATATATTCCTCCCTCTCCCTCCCTATCTTCCTTTTACGCCTTTTTGTCCCTCTCCCTCCCTATCTTCCACCAACGCCTTATCCAAACAAGGGAGCTTGTTCCCTTCAATCCCTTTCTCTCAATTCCTTCTCGTCCTAACAAAGTGTAAGTGTATGTATTTGTGTTGTAGTTAGGATCGAAGTATGGGGATTGAATTTTTGGTGTTTGTTGAAATTATTGATGTCGAACATTGATTACAGATGAAGGAATTGTAGGTTGATGTAGATTGAAGCGAAGTGTATTTAATTGATTGGCTTCTTTTCACTTCATCTTTGCCAATCAGAAGCTCAATTATGTCATGCAAATTAAGGAAAAGAAAATGGACATTGCATTTTATTCATTCGATTATGGATGAGATGAACAATACATTGTGTAATTTTATGAACCCTAATTCTTAAGGTAGACTAAGTCTTTCTTTTTCTGTGAGGTGCTGTTTCCTAGATTGTTGAAGTTATTCCTCCACTATTATGTCATGCTGTTTAATGCGAACGAAAAAAGAGGATTTCTATGAGTAGTTAAAAATATTGTTAAGGTTGATGATAATATTCCTGAATTATGGATTGCTTAACTTGATGATCAATTGTGGAAGTCCTTTCTACTAAATATAATTATTTACTTGATTGACGCGTTTATTATCATTTTGGTTGGATAGCAAATCAGAAGAGGAAGGAAAGGAAGGGAAAAGGTGGATCTCCATTTTTTCTCCAAATCCTCCAATTGGAGGGATGGTGTTTATTAAAGGAGAGAAAATATATTTCTCCCTCTCCCTCCATATCTTTCTATAACGCCTATTCCTCCCTCTCCCTCCCTTTCTTCCACCAACGCCTTATCCAAACAAGGGAGCTTGTTCCCTTCAATCCCTTTCTCTCAATTCCTTCTCGTCCTAACAAAGTGTAAGTGTATGTATTTGTGTTGTGTCAATTTTGCATATACTGTGTGGTACATTAGAGATTTTTATCTTTAGTGTAAGCTGAATGCTCAAGGATATCATTCACAGCTTGATAAAGAAAGTGAGTATTTTTACACTTTATTTTTCATGTACAAAAGAAGGCAGCACTGAAATTTATGAGAATCTTAGTTTTTAGTCTAGTTTTCTTATTTTCTATAGCGCAAGTACCTACATCACTGCATGGTATATGTTAAGGAAGGAAACGCACAAGAGATCTTTGAATCAAGTTATGGGAGGAAATCTGAAGATTCCATATACCATTAGAAAACAATTTTAAAGCATATTTTTGCTACATAGATTTTTCATTATCCGTGAATGTTGACTTTGTTCCTTAACCATTGTGGCATGCTCTTTTATGGCTGATTAGAGAGGAACGTGTGAGTTTTTAGATGAGCATATGTTTGATAGTGCTCTTGAAGTATGATTGCTGATCATGTAGATCAATTGTAGTAGTCCCTTCATCAAATAAGATTAGTTGCATGGTTGGCATGCTTGACCAATTTACTTGTGCTTTGCAGGTATCACTTACAGAATTCCGAAGCCTTCCTCCATTGTTTGAAGCAACACCAAATGCTGTTCATGAATTGAGCTTAGCAAGTAACTCTATTGACCTTATTGTGTCCAACTCTCTCCTTCAATATTTGATAGTTTATCACTTATGGTCATTTACCATCTTTTCCTGATTTATCTTTAGGGGACATCTATGAGCATGCTGTTGTTCTAAGTGTCAAGATGGAGGATCAGGAAGCATTTGAGAGGGATTTCTGCCAACTGAAACCTTATTACACTGATGCCAGGTAAATTCTCATCTAACTCGAGGCAAGGTTACTTCAAGTGGTAGTGTTAGGTATACCCTAGATATGCAACTAACTATGCAAGTGATGAAAACCCCTACTTTTTGAATTGGGTTACCGGGGAACTCCCCTTATGCTTTGACATGTAGGATTAATCCTCCTATTTGGTCTTCCAATTCTTTGATTGTCACCAAGTATAGAAATCCTTTTAACATGGTTGTGAGTAATCTATACTTGGGAATGTTGTTTCAAATTCTGAATTTTGCCAAATTATTGAGGCTCCAAAGAAATCCTAAATAGGTAAATCTGAAATGACAATTCAGATAATGTTTCTTTTAATTCCTTTGTAGCTCTCTCTCAAATTGTACAAAAGGTTCTTAAGCAATAGATGTTCAGTAGAAATTTGAGTTAATGACATATGCAAACTATCTCTGTGGATCTGAATATACCTTAATTGTACTCTGAAAACTGAAAATGAAGTAAATGGTGTTCAATTTTGTACTTTGTTCTGCTCAGTTACTAAGGAATACTATTGTGTTCATTAAGCCTTTGGAACAAACATAGTGTTCTTAATCTTCCCTATCCAATCCCTTTCTCTTCCAACTCCTCAGGTAAACTGCTGATTTTTCTCAAAAAAAAAAAAAAAAAAAAAGAAAAAAAAAAGGTAAACTGGTGATAAATTGTGTTCTTCGTTGTCATGCTGTCTTACCTGATAAAAAGTAAAGTTATGGGAAGTGGAAGAGGTAGCAATTCGTATTCAGTAGCATAATAGAAATATTTGAGGCCTTTGTATTGAGAAGTTGGTAGTTGTTGAAACTTGAGAGAGTTTACAATATTTCTCTGATGTACAGAGAAAAAGTGCAACTCCACCCCTTAGGTTGAGGTGTAATAAGGGCATAACTACTTTTTCCATTAACATGTGTTGTTGACTTGTCACTTTTGATACAGTTTGAGACAAACCCATCTGGTTCTTTTTGGCCTACAACTTTGCACTATCTGAGTGTCTGGTCACACTTGATTTGTGTTTTGTCCAGAAGGCTAAGAAAATATTGTAGGCTAGGAAATTCAGGCTGCATTGAGTCAATTTGCTTGGCATATTTTGAGAAATTTGTGCCTGCTTATCTTAACAAGTCTGCGGTGGAGTTCGTCACCCTACTTAGTGGTATTGCAACAGTCCCACAAACACAGGAGAATGTTTCTCCTTGAATAATTTTCATTGCTCCTGAAGTCTTATTCAAATGGTTTATCGCCCTGTCCAGGGAGAATAACTCATTGAATGAATCGACAAGGGAATCTACCCACCTTCAAAAGCAAACCTGAACAGTAGTTATGCAGAAATTAAACTACCTGGTAAATCTTGTGTGGGGAACACCAAGTCATTGTATGCAGCTGGGTTCTGATATAGTGGGTTAAGTTAGTAGGTCCCAAAATAGAACCTGAAGGTCATGTCTTTTGTTACACAAATTCTTTTGTACCAATATAATAATTTTTTCTTTAACTTTTACAGATAGGCGCTGACTTTTTTTTTTTTTTTTTTTTTGTGGGGCAGGGGTCATATACCGCAATCTCCACAGGAATACCCAATCTTGGGTCTGAACCTTTTGAGGCTGCTTGTCCAAAACAGAATAGCAGAGTTTCACACTGAATTGGAGTTGCTTTCATCTACTGCCTTGGATAATCCCTGCATTAAACATGCTGTAGAGCTGGAGCAGTCCTTCATGGAAGGAGCATACAACCGTGTTTTAAGTGCTAGACAGTCTGTACCTCATGAAACTTACGTGCACTTCATGGATTTGTTGGCGAAAACTGTGAGGTATTTCCTCTTGTATGACTGTGTGATTGTATATTTGTAACTTTGCCTCTATTTTTTTCTTGTATGGGGTGGCATTCTATGTCCGTGTTATGCTTCTTGGTTTTAATGCACTCTATGAATGCAGAGATGAAATTGCTGGGTGCAGTGAAAAGGCATATGATTCTCTTTCACTGAATGATGCTAAACAACTGTTGCTATTTTCATCTGACAAGGATTTGCTCGAGTATATCAATGAGGTAAGCATAACAGACTTGTGGTTGAGGGGTTTTCCATTTACTAGTTCAATAGATTGAGAAAGATCAGATCAGAGCTGATGCGTGATTTCTGCCACAATTACTCAAACTAAATGTTTAAAGAATTTGAATAAGCAACTTTTGTTGAGGGAAACTATTGTATGTAAGCTGTGTTCCATGAAAAGATTGGCTGTGATATTGTCTACTGCTAAAATTGGTTGAAACTTAAGCCACTTGAATGGCAGAAATTCTAATTTGTTTTAGTATGATTCTCCTGTTTGCTGAATGTTATTAAGTTGTTAGTCTGAATTTTATCCACTTGCATGCTCTTCCTAATTTGGCGCTGTCCTTTTTCGCACTTCCATGGTTTATCTGTTTGATTAAATACAACTCATTCTAACCAAAAAAATCTACATGTCGCTTCCAGGAACATCCTGACTGGGAAATCAAAGGTGGATGTGTTTATTTCCAGAAGGCAAAAGAATCTGCACCATGCAAGGAGATTCCATCTCTGCTACTTATCAACCAAACCCTCAGTTATGCTAGGGAACTCGAGAGGATCGTGTAGTGGATTAGCTTTAAACAGTTCTATATCCAGTGCAGCAATTGATGCAAGGTGTTTTAATGCACAGCCTACTACTTCCTGTAGACAGGATTAGTTGAGTCTGAGGAGGTGCATATGCACACATGCTTGCCGAAGTGATTTGTATTTTGATTTTAGCATTGCATTAAAGGTTTCATGCAGTAACAATTAAAATTGGCATTTAACCTTTTTGTTGTCTACTTTCTTAAGATTTCTTTGCTCTTTCAAATGTTATGTGATTTATCTCTTTTCTATTGTGTTGCCAATATTTAATCTGAAGATATTTACCAGTATTTATGTCAACATTAGTTTTCGTTTAACCATCCATGCCTATCTTTGAGTTTTAAATTGCCAGAACTTGCTTGCTGGACCAAGGAATAACTGAAATTATACTACGTAAATGCTTTTTGAAAAACACAATGCCCTGTGTTTTTAGAGTTGAGGAATTTTCTAAAATAATGCATTGGTATATAATCTAAAGATGGGTTTGAAACCCAGGTTTTGTGTACTGCAATTCAGATACTTTTCCTTCACTGATTATACTCTTTCTTTTTTCAACACCTACCTGTTCAATTATAAACATTGGTAAAACGAATAGCTAATAAATGACCAGTTATGCAAGACCAACTATAACAACTTGTTGCAAAAAATGGCAAGTTATGCAAGATTAGCTATAATTGCGCGTTGCAAACTCACATTAAATTCCCAAATCGAAACTTGGGCAGTCCATTGTAATATTTGACTTTTCAGTGTTCACAGATTTCGGTTTCTTCATGCCAACCAGATTACCAAACCATTTTGACATGTCTCTGGTGGAAGCTGTTTGCTCTTTACTTTTTGGGTCTGTCTTCGGCAACTTTGTAGATGGCTACATAAGAACATAAAATAGGTGAACTTTAGCAAATTATACTATAAATAACTAAATAAGACCTGAAATTTTAGAAAAGCTGAGGATTCCTGAGTAGTTTGCAGACCTGATAGGTTGTAGTTTCACTAACCACAGATAAATTACTGCCAATGAAGCTTGTTCCTGAAGAAGTTCTGTCAGATTTTGTTTAAAGTAAGGTGATATAGTGCTGATGATATCATAAACGCCGTAAATTGCATGCTAGTCAGGCTAAACTTGCCTTTAGAAGATTGTAGGACAGCTGGTATTTCATCAACACTTGATTCAGCAGCAGATTTGTGCTTGCAAGGAGATTCATATGCATTGGTTCTGATTATTTCGGTCCCTTCTGTGGAATCTGGCCTTTCAAGGTTATTACAATTGCCTTCAGAAAATGTGCTACTGCATCCGCCAGCTGCAGCCTTCTCATTGGTATGCTTCTCCACTGCCTGGTCTGCCTCTAGCACTTGACAGCGATCAACTGGAACTGAACTGTCAAATGTCTGACTTGGTTGAGTGTCATCATGTAACTGAACCAGCTCTGAAGCACTTGAAGGGCATTGTTGCACAGGAGCATCTTTGACAGTGGAAAGGGTTTCCCGAGTAATAGGTTTCCTCATAATTGATAAAATTTGATTGGCTGCAAAAGAAGAAACAAATCAGAAACTGGTGTAACTGCTAGTGCTAGAGAGCTATAATAATAAAGTAACTGCTCTTGAGATAGATCAGGACTCAGGTGATGTCTATAACAGGCTTAAAAAGCTGTTCAATCAGTTTCCAACTAGTCTACATGTATTGTTGAGTTGTTGACTGACACCCACAAGTTCATGCTCGGCAGCTCGGGCATGAGCGACCCAGACCAGATCCCAATGCTACGAAACCACAGGCACAAAAAAAAAATACAAGGCAAAGGCCAAAGCAGAGCACCTCTTTGCGGCATTCTACTTTAAAGAGGTTTAGAATCAAATACAGTAACAAAATTCCATTACTTAATTTCTCCCTTTTTTTTTTCTCAAAGCAAGATGTGCTATGAGGAGAAGTTTGAAGCCCGATTGCCTACAATGTGCAAAGAGGTAGAGCCTACATACCATCACATATAGGCGAGTGAGAAGCAGTGTTCTCTTTAATCGTATCAAATCCAATTCGTCTTGCAATAGAGTTAACATGTTTGGTATTATGAGGTTTCCCTGCAAGTGGTGATTGAGTAAACAATATAAGCTTGTAAACAAGCATAGATGTCACATGACTTATTCATCAGCAAAAGAAGTTCACACCAAAGATATGCATACTGGAAGCTTGATGATCTCTTCTAACTTGGTGAGAAACCAATGAACATAAAGAAAATATAATAGCATTATATCTTAGCACATGCCAAAAAGAAAACAAGGCTGGAATATGGAAATAATTTCTACTACTAATGCATAATTTATAGAAAGTAACTGCCAACAGACCTATCCCAACGGAATTGCCAGAACCAAATTGATCCATCAGTGTAGATTCTTTGCTTCTTTTTGCTTTTGAAGCCGAAAAATCTGCTATCAGAGAAAATAACCAATCCAGCCAATTGCTCTGGTATGGTCAAATTGAATGCAACACCGTAGCAACCTGAAAGCTTAGCTAAAAATGTTATATATCACATAAAATTGGGATTATATAAATCATTTGGCAGAAGGGTCCAACTGGGAGTGCAGATAGGCCAGATACCACTAAACGGCTTTTGCCATTAGCGACCAGAAAGTATCTCTGATTTTTCAGTAGAAGTGCTGTGTCTTTCATTTATCTTCACATCTGCGTCATCTCCGCTGGTCCCCACAGGATCTCCAATATCAACCAAATGAGCATCAAATGTCAATGATCCACCAGAATTGATAACTTCATCTTTCTTCAAAAATCTCTTATCTATTTGATTTTTGCTGGAGTCATACAGCATAATCTGAAAGGAGACGAGAAAGGGGTCTATGTAAACAGCAAAGAGACAAGGATTAACAAAGCAAAACAGAAAAATTGATTCAGTCTACCTAAGTGAAACCCACTAAAAATCAATTAAGATAATGCACGGGGGAAATATTTTTTCAGGATGGAAAGGATCGCTATCACCAGCAACAGGTTCATTCTCAATAGAAGGATCAGAGTCAAGACAGGTTGAAAAATGAATCAATCAATAACATAATACATCTTTTTTGATTGATTTTGAATTATTATTATAATTCATAGTAAAATTTTGTAAAAACCGTGCATGACACGGGGCTTGATCTAGTATCCATAAAACTGGAGTGACATAGATTGGAATCATTAAATTTGTTAATGTTATGTAGCACATTGCTCTAAAAGCTCTTCTAAACTATTCCACTCAACATCCACAGATCCGAAGGTTTATGTATAGGACTAGCAGCTTACTGATTAGCGGTAAGAATGCATACAAGTTGCTCTCCTCAACCAAGCCACACATTAGGTGGTGGTTGTGAGGTTGTAATGTCTAAAACTTTATATCAGTGTACTACTCACATAACAATTAACATTCCACTGACCATAAGAGATATGGTTCACGGAGCGTGTGAAAGTGTACTTTTGCATTAGAACATATATTTGAACAATATTTGTACACATGCTTTCTTTATCTATTCAATTTCATCAAGCTTTACTCACTAGTGTTTTTGCAGCAATTCAAATTCATTGTAGTAAAATAATACAGAGATGGAATATAATGGAACCTGTCTCCCATGTGAACCACAAAAGATCATGCGTATGAAGCCATCATGATACTTCTTGGCCTTTTGTGTAAGTTGCGTTGTATACAATGCTTCCCACTCTGCAATGCAAGACAGGGATTTTAGCTGGAGGAAAGAGGGGAAATGCATCAGCTTAACAGAGACTGGAAAGCATGAAGTCCCAGTTTGTGCCTCAGCAACTCAAAATTTTAACAGTATTGTGGAAGTCCAAGATTGCTGAGGGAAAAAGTGCACTTGTCTATCTGCTAGTGCTATGTTGTATCAGCAAAACTAGTGAACTGATACTAAATATAGAACAATAGTTTCAGAAAAAAAAAAAAAAAACTTGGATATTTAGACTTTATACTTGACAAAACAACATACAAAAATAAAGTAGCACATCCATGACAAAATTTACAAATTATAAGGTGGCTACATATGTACATGCAAACCTTTAGCAGATGGAGTCGCTGGACTTGTTGGGCTGTGTGCACCATACTTGAGAACTTCATTTTTCTTGAACTCTGTAATGTGCTGCCGTTAGTTAGCTATAAGTTGCTCTAAATATATATTAAGGACATTAATGCCAAATTGCAACAGAAGTTTAACATAACACTTCCTTGTCCCACACATCTCTAATGAAAGCATTCTCAAAATCATCCATTTTACATGACATATATATATATAACAACTTAACAAAATATCAAGCTTAGGTAGACATGAAAGCAACAGTGAAAACCTTTGATAATCTTCTGAGACGGACTTAAGCAGACTGTTGTGTTTTTTCTTCCTGCTGTATTAGGCTTCCTACCTTAGAAAATAGAAACAATAGCAAATGAGAATCATATAAGGTCTAGTAATTTAAAGCTGAAAATCCAAAGACAGGACAGAACTTCCTCCTTATTCCTAACCAGTAAAAGTATGTCTTAATTTCTCTCCTTGAGGCATTTGAGTTCTCTCGTGAGGCTTAACATCACGTTCGTATTTGGGCTTTGGATTGGAGATTGGATTGCAGTTATTTTCAGGATCACCAATATCAACAAGAAATGAAGCAAATGTTAATGACTCCCCTGATTTCACTGCTTCATCTTTCGTCAAGAATTTACTGTCTAATAGCTGCTCACCCTCATCATACAGCACCACCTGGTAAATGATTATGCCAGTAAATTTTTGTTCCACAGACATTCCACACTAAAAGTTAATGGCGGTATTACAGTAACCAGCTACTAAACTAACTAGTACTCGACTACTCGGTAGCTCACAATTGAAATTAGTCCACAATCCAACAGACTACAATGCAACAGTTCAGAACCAAATCAATTCTGAAATACTCTCTAAACCAATTGGACATTTGATAGAATAACTAAATTATTAAGAAAATACAAACTATTATTATCTGGTAACTTCAAATTGAATAATTTCCAGTATATGTAAGAGAAGATTAGCCAAAAATAGTCGAAAACCTAGTGGATTACAGTTAGATCGAGTCAATTTGACGCCAATTTATCAAAATTTAGGGAAAATTAGCCAAATCAGCTAATTGAAATTTGCGCGCCAATGATTTAGGGTTCTGCGATTTCGCTAAACAATAAAAAATCGAAATCGATCATATATCTGACAATTTTTATGCGCATTTTTTGCTCCGAAATTAAATTAATTCTACTAAAAATTAAACAATTGTAGTGCATCAGTAACTTCAAATTACATGATTTTTAGTCCATATGACACAGAAGATTAAGCTAATCATGCTCGCGAAACTAGTTGATCAGCTAAATCAAGTCAATTTGAAAATGATTTGTCAAAAATTAGGGAAAAATAACCTAATTTCTTCAATTTTGGGCGGGAAACAATCTAGGTATTGCAATTTCACTACCAAAAAAAATCGAATAATTGTAATCATTCAAAATTTAGATATACGCGCACATATTTTTTCTCCGAAAATCAAATTAAATTATGGAAAAAAAAAAAAACAAATCATTTGAATCGGAAAATTAGAGATTGTAAAACAGAAAAATGACGACGAAACCTTGTTGTTGGAAAGGAGATGAAGACTGCCATCTTGATAAACTTTTCTCTTTTGCTTCACATGCTTTGTTTACGTCACCGTCCATTTCTTCAAATCTCCCATTCTCTCTCCTCTCTCCTCTCTCCTCTCTCTTTCTCTCTCTAACTTGATAAAAAAACGTTAATGGCGGGAGCAGAGAAAATTTTGAAAAATCTCAGACAAATAAATACGTATCAGAATAATAAAGTATTTGGGCTTGGGCTGACTTTTTTTTCTTTCTCGATTGTATTGTATGGACTTAAAAACAAAATGCGGCCCAGTTCTATTTAGGAGGTTAGGTAATCTGTTAGGGGAGAGTGTTACCTAAAATACAAATTTTTATATGTGGTTGATTGGCTAACGACACTCAGTATAGGGGTACTTTGTTAGTATTATAGGGGCTACTTGGTCAGGGGTTGCTTGGTCGGTTAGGGGTTATTAAGTCGGTCGGGGGTACTTATTTGGTTATGGGTTACCAAGTCGGTCAGGGTTATTTATTCGGTCATGGGTTAAAAAGTTGACCAAGGGTTACTAAGTTGGTTAAGTATTACTCGGTCGATCAGGGATTGCTTGGTCAGAAGTTATCTGTCGATTAAGGGTTAGTTGGTGTGTGTCAGCTGGCCATACAATGTGGTCAATCGCACACAAAAGTTATTGTACTTAAAATAGAAATAAAATAAGAATACGTCGGTTAGAGATAAGTATTACTTCTAATAATAGTCTTTGTTAATGAATCTTTCAACTTGATTCATGAATCTTTCAATAATTAATTTATCATCTTGCCCGTTTAAGAAGGTTGAAAAAGCACCTCCCAATTAAATAAAATAATAAAAAAATGATAAGTTTTGGTTAGAAGAAAAGATCTAGGTTAATGTCATGAGGTGTAGCAAAGTGTGAGGTTGACATGGTGTGAAGTGTGACATTATAACCCAAGTTCTCATCATCAAAGATAGAGACAAAAGACGTGATTAGGGAAATTTCTTAGGGGTTTGCGTTTTGGAATTTTGCTCATATTATAAAGTTTTTAATGATATAAAATAACATTATATATATATATATATATATATATATATATATATATATATATATATATATATATATATATATAATGTGAGTTGTTTTATGAGAGATGTTAATAAATTAATAATATTAATAATCTATAATGGTTCTTTATTTGTTGGAGTAGAGTAGTAGACACAAGCATGAGACGCTTTCTAATTGGTAAGGTATTGAGTTATTCAAGTATTTCAGATAATCAAATATATGATGAAAATTTATTGAGTGTAAGTGTGTAACATATATTCCTATTTACAAAGCTGAAATTGTTTAATATACTCATCAGATCCCTTGGCAATTAAGCATTGTAAGTAATGCAAGTTCTAAATAGCTTGTACACTTTGAGCTCCTTTCATTACTCTTCTAGACATACTGTGTTGACAAACAATAAAATGCAAATTTTTGAAAGGTAAGGAAAAGCACCATAACGGCGATGCCCCCCAATTTGTTTTCGAAAGATAATTATACTACATCTGCTAAATATTAGTTGCAACTTTGAGGTATTATTTGTGAGATATAAAATATTCTAAAGTTGCAACTAATATTTACCGGGGTAGATATGATTAAGAGGAAGTAATTATTTTAAAATTATGGATATCTTGCAAGTTACAACCAACCTTGAAGCTATGCCAAGTTGCAAGGTATACTTGTTGGTGGCACCGTGCATGGTAGCTTTCCTACTTGTATGTAATTAGCTTTTGTAAAAAAGCCAAACTTAGCTTACGATGTAGTGAATAATGACCTCTACTTATTGACTCTTAATTCTTAAAAGATCCAATGGGATATGTTTGCCTCCATAAGACATTATACCCTTGAGAATCTCATGTATTTTTTACTAAAATATCTGTTTGATAGTGTGATACTCTCATTATTGCACCCTCCAATAGTTACAGGACACTATTCAGTGGATTGGAGTGACATAATTATAAAAAATCAAATTCAATTATAAATTTTTACTTTTTCTTTCCAAATTAATAGTCGAATAATTAATTAATTAATTAATTAGATGTGTGATGACCTTTTCAAATCAAAGTCATAACTTCTAAAATTTATTACGTACGTTTGTCTTATGTCATTAATCAGAAAAAAAAACATATAAAACTATAAGGAGTTATATAGCGATTCAACAATTGAAAACGGAAAAAATAATAATAATAAATGCTAGCATTATTTTGGAAACATGACTTCAATTGTAGCACTTGTATTAACAAGCTAGTTTATGTCATGTAGATTATACAAATGGTTTTTGAATAACAACCATATTGTATAATACAAATATATAAATTTGTAAGCATAAACTAATTTATAAGAAATTTGACTAAGAAAACCAGGTTGGTGGAAGCAGTTGAAAATATAAATGACGAAGGTGGGCAATGATATGATTAATGTATAGTAAGTGATTGGTTGGGGTTTAATGGAGAATTTATCTTTACTTTTTGATTTGATACATGTTATGGAACTAATTACGTGTGCCACTCATCATCGCTTTATGTTTTTTTTTGTCTTTCTCCCAATTTTTTGTATTCCTAACTTACACACTATTTGCTACTATTTCCACTTTCTTCCCCCTTTTTTTTATTTTTATTTTTGCTTTGTTTTCGGATTTTGATTCAACTCTTCTCTGTAGCTTTACAGGTTGGTCTTCCAACTAAGTTTGCTAATTGCCAAACAAAGATTATTAAAACGAAGTTAATTTTTCGAAGTACAAAAGGTTATGAAATTAATGAGTACAAAACACAAACATAACACCTAAAGCTCACATCATTAACAATAAGTCAATAACATATTAGCTAGGGAGGGATACTAACTAACTTGTTGATAAAGTTTTAGAGAGTGATGCACATTGTATCAATGAGTGAATTGAATATAATCTCATCTACATTGTTGTCGTTTACTCCTCTATGCATAATTGAAAGAAAAATGATAAAGAAATAATTTAGTGTTTGATAATGCATGCTAGATGTAAGAGGATTGTTGTGAAATACACTTTTTTTTTTTTTTTTTTTTTTTTGGAAAGAAAATACACGGTAATTTGATGTATTTTAGTTATGCATGGATCAAGAATGAATTTAGGCTGAGAAAGCAATAAAGAAGATAATAAAAAAACACGCAAGGATGTAGTGATGTACGTAGTTTGGTCAACTACTGATACTCAACATGCATGTGATGGGTATTTCGAGGGTTTCTCTCCACTTTTAGAGAAAACAAGAGTAATATACAAAAAGTAATCTTCCAATAGTCTAATAGTTTAAATGCTCAAGCTATGCTAAATGATCACCCACTTAAGTCTTAACGATCTCATTTACTATAATATAAGGAAAGCTTAAATAAACCTTAAATTTTTCTCCAAGAACAATCCTAGCTTTACAAGCAATCTTTTTCTTTTTCACAACACAAAATATTACTTAACTTAAAATTTTACAATAGTTATTTGAAATATGACTATCATAATGTTTTCATGATTATAGTGTTTATAATTGATACAGGTATATTTTTTTCCAGATAATTAATTATATTACTTTTTTTTTTGAAACCTTTTTTTTTTTTAAAACCACTTTACTTTAGTATTATCAACCTTTTTTTTATTTATCAATTTTTTAGTTTCATTTATGTAATTTTTTTTTCTTATTTTTATAGTTTCCCTTAAAAAATTATTTTATGTTGAATTGAAAATTTCAAAAAATATATTTGCATTATAGATATAATAAGATTAAGGGTCTGTTCACATTTACTGAACTAAGCTGGACTGATTGGAGCTGAAGTGAACTGAATTGAGCTAAAATGATTATTTTTTTTATGAGAGAGGGAAATTAGAAGCTAAACTGAACTGAACTGATTGGAGCTCAACTGAACTAAACTAAACTGATTGGAGCTGAATTAAACTGAATTGAAATCAAGTAAATGTGAACATGCCATTGTGATAATTTTATAAAGTGAAAAAAAAAATCAATCATATTATATATCACTAAAATAATGTAGTAGTCATTTTTCAAACGACTACTGTAAAATCCCATTACTTTTAACACTTTATTGGATGTATGTTTGAATGTGTGTAACATATGTGTGTTGGTCATTCAATTCAGAC